TATTTGTATGTTTTCTGTTTTTAAAGCAAGTCATCACCAGGAAGTAATCATGATACGCGATTTTTCGTTGTAAAACGCTATCTATGCGATATTGAAACATTCGGATTTGGATTATAGTAGTTTACGATGTGTCAATATTTTTGAATAGATAATGCGAAATTATAATAATTAAAATATAGATATTTCAACGTGTATTTTTATTGAGCATCAGATTTTTTTAACAAGTTGTTTGCGCCTGGTTGTACGCGACACTCCTATCCCTGACAGTTGTAGTGCTACTCACAGCTTTAAATCGCGAAGATCTGGGAGACGCTGCCACTGCGCCCGTCACCCTGAGACATAAGTTGACAAGTCTCATGTGCATGTAATTTCACCAGCACCCATAATACCCTTCAAAACCGGAACGCAGTAATGCTCACATAGATTACTATCTAGGTTCTAGGTATCTAGGTTCACATTAGTAACAGTAGAGCTCCTCAGGGTCAAGGACACAGTGGCAGTGCCCAGATCTATGCGATTAAAAGCTCTGAGTGACTCTGCAGCTGTTATGGATAGACGTGTCGCTTACCAGCAGGCGCAAGACTTGTTCGTCCAAAATTTGATCGTTCTTCTCTTATCCAATCCCATGTACCTCTTCCGTCTTCCATCCATCTTTTATTGTTGTCGAATACTAATATTATTTTAGAAAATAATATAAAAATTTAACTGCTGCAATAATAATATATATAATATTTATTCTATATTTATACCATTTGTTTATTTAGATCTCATAATTCCTGTCTCCCGGTCCCTTTTTCACTTTTTCTCCAACTTTCAAATCTCGTTCCCAAATCACATTCCACGACACTATAAGTCTCCCCGTTTTAAAAACAAGTTAGTCAAAACAGTTTGTAAGTGGCTAAAACGCTTACCGTTAATAGTCAAGATAAACAAGAAAAAACAACTTCAGTTCTGTAGATACTACCGTAGACAATAGAATTTTGATACATAACTAAAAGGAGCGCCTTTGTGATATAGTTTATGAAATTATAATTGACAGATTAAAAGAGTAGAAAAAAGAAATAGCACAGGAAATTGCAAAACAATAGCCGTCCCCATACCTTGCTAAGCATATCCATGATTGAGACACACACACAAAAATTCTCTTGCTACTTAAAACCGACACTCTCATTCGGAACTCGTAACGTTATGGCGTACAACCACACAACGCGCAGCAAGGAGGCAACTGACACACGGGATGGGTGCAATGTCGTTTATAGGTCGCCTACGATCTTTACGAGTCCCTGATAGCTTATCGGAGGGTCTCTGAACTATGGGTCCCTGAACCATAACTTAAGCGGACATCACTTTTTATGTAACCATACGTAGCAATGATAACATTCACATTAAATTAACAAATAGCCATAATATTCTTCAGAGTCTATCTCAGCTCGAATTAATTTTTTCCCCGTACTAATACGGTTCATTTTGCTTGGCAGGGACGCTGGCTTTATTTCAGATTCTTTTTTAGCCGATGTGAAGGAAAAAGTCGCAACTTAAAAGGAAAAAAAAGGAAAAATATTGTAATATCTATTTACCTATAGCCACTGGCCGGTGGAATATTTACGGACAACATTACACAGAATTAGCAACTTCAAAAGTCGGTTGAAAATTGCTCCAAAAAACGCAGTCTGTTTCACAATTTTGTCTTTTTCATTACATTTGTTGCTGACTTGAATGGTACCATACGTCGCATTATCATTATTTTTAGCCAAACACTGCATTCAAAATCATATTTCCATTTTAAAATTTGACTACCCTTCAAAAGAATAAAAATTGAGTTATGTAAGAAAAAATAAGAAGCGTTCAGAAGTTACAGATTTGTGAAACACATTATAGAAACTATTCAAAACAAACTATTCAATCAACAACTTAAAGATCTGGCAAACGGGACATTAAATCTAAAAAAAAGTTATGTAACCATTGACTTACAATTATATAGACGTCGGGTCCGCGCTAAAAAGTGTCCGAACTTATAGGGCGTTAAAATCCTATACAGAGCGTCATTCACGCTTTAGTCTTCGTTTGTTCGACTGATAGCGCAGCAAGCAAAATTAGACAGTACTGCGATGACTACGTTTAAATAGGTTGACTTGGGACATTTTTTTCGTGGTTTTTGTATTAGACCCGTCGTCCATTTATTTGTAAGTCAATGTATGTAACAGAGGAAATCGGAGTCAACATTACATCCCCAACTCGACGAAAAATCACGAAGTAATTCGATCGTTTAATTAGAAAAAATAAGTTCTTCAATCTTTTGATTTCGATTAGATGATCTGGATATGTGGTCAGTAGTTCGTATGTAAACTTTGTTATCATTCTTTAGTGTTCCTCTAAAATGTTATATGATATTACTATTATTCCGTAGGTGACTTTTTAAATTTATTTTCTAGTAACTTTTCCGGCACGCTTTGATGGCCGTTTTGACGTTTGTCCGCTCATCAAGTTTCGTATTAATTCATAACTACGTTGAAGGAGCTAATTGCTGTACATCGGTGTCAATAGTGACGTGCAGTACAATTTATGGATGTATAATTTTACGACACAAGTCAGCATTTGTTGTTTGAAATTTTTTTAAATGAAGTCTAATACGATTGTCGCTTATGGGATCGCTGTCCAGTACAACTTCTACCTCCGGCAAACTCGCGTTAAAGCTCGATGCAAAACGAAGCAGTTTCGAAAAGACGATATATTAAGTAAACATTTTATTTTCGTTTTATTAAAACTTTTTGATCAGAACTTATAGATGCGATTCGCATTTTATTATATTTTTTTTGATAATGAATTGAGTTTTGACCCTTAGAGGATGGAAAAAATATAGTCTAAGATTTGACCTCATAATCTGTCAAAACGGCCATCATAGCGTGTCGGGGTGCGTAGTGAAAAGAATAAGAAGGCCTGTATGAAAAAAATGGTGAATGTAAGAGAGGCAAGAGAGGTTTATCATGATAGGCATTGAGGGAGTAAATCTACCTAAACATTGAACGTTTTCTTAGTATGCACATAGCCATTTCGTCGTCAATGCGTATGAAATTTCTTTTTTACAGTTTATTTTCTAAACATGTAGGTTGTCTCACGTTTTTTTTAATTGCTAAAGTATTTAAATACGTAAGTACCTGTAGAAATACAGTATTATTTTTTGACACAATAATTTGTAGCCTTTGTAATTAATTTGTCGCCAATGTACCCAAATTTCAATAAATAATACGTATTCAAATATAATCATTTACGAGAAGTCCCGGTATTTGTAGAAGGGAATGTCCATTTTATTCTTTTGTTTAGTTATTAACTCCCTCAATTCATTGTACCGAAGTATTCCGATCACTGGATCATCGTGCTACGTGGCGATCGATGCTCCTTGCCTACCCCAATGGAAATCTACGTGCGAGAGGTTATTACATAATAATATAGTTCTTAAAGAAATGTAGTGACATCTCTAGTTTAGGATCAATTGATAATTGCCCCTTACACCACATACCGCAAACTCGCACGCGCACTAGATAACGTCATAACGAGCCCTGACATCAATTTATTCATCTACCCGCTAATCTAAAAAAAATGTTACAATGGATGAGGAGGAAATGGATTGAGACCACCATGAAACCAGTCAACATCAGTCATCAGTGTACCAAAACCACCCTGCGTAAATCACTGCAACCTGATTACTGATTGGTAACGTGTCAAGGTCACACACTAGGTCATTATGATGTACGCGGAGCGTAAGGAGACTAACCAAGCAGAACAAGAATAATTGTAAATATCTATGTAAAAGCATGCTTCAGTTGTTAGTAATACATGCAAAAAAATGCATTTCAAAATCGTTTAGCTAAATTTATTCTTGCATTAACACACGGAACTCCAAGTAAAACATTTAGGCACGTATATTTCAAAATAAACCAAATATTACTTATTAAGGAAATAAAATTTTGTCGCCACATTTTAGTAATACTCTGACACACAGAACTGGCTCTTGTTCTCATGTGTGATTCGAAGTTAACGAAGCGTTAAGGCTAATGTGTTGTGTGAACCGTTCCTTTATCATTAGTTTATGGTGACAATTGTCGATGGTGACCGCGGCTACAATTCATAAAAAGACAGACGGCGGCGCTTAATTATGTCATCAGTAACAACTAATTAAGAAACTAGTATAAGCATAGAAATACAAAGGGGAACGCTGCCAGCATCTTGGGCACCGCGCCGCGGGGACCCAAGTTTATTCATATAATTTTAAAATCCTAGTTTTACTTTCTAGTAGTTAAGCTTTTATTGTAAGCTCAAAAGGCTTATGCTGAACGAAGTTCTTTTTCGTATGCCACAACCGCACAAATGACAGTACCTACCAAATTTGTAGTTGATATACGTTTTTTGCTTTTTGTCAGTTTTGTCTTATTTTATGTTTTTGTTTTGTGTTATCAATAATTACTATGATAATTTTATTTTGTATCTACGTGTTGTGGCGTTGCAATAAATGTCTATTCTATTCTAATAATTGCCTAAACTAAAAATTAATTCGTGTAAAAACTGTCGCTATAAAAACCCATTTTTTCCCTCAAACGTTACATAAACAACGTGAGATGAGCCAAGCATTCGTCAGTATTAAATTTTAAAAAATTTACGAATTGCGCAGCGCCTCTACTGATCAAAAAAAGCTAACATTTTGTATACAAGTAAAGAAAAAAATGGCGGGTTTTTTGGTTACAGTTTTCATACGAATTAATTTACGGCTTATGTGTTATTATATTACATTTTGAGGTTCTTAATTATCTGTTACCTTTTTAAGCTGATGGTTCTATAGCCATCATACATAGTAATATATATATATGTCGTCAGAGTACAAAAAAGCTTCTAAAATGTGCGCGCTAAGATTATTGCCCAATGTTATGCAAGAATAGATAGAAAATAATTTTAAGTTTAATTGTTAAGTTTTCAACTAAAATGTCATATCAAAGTGTTGCGCTTACCACTGGTCTAAGCCGGTACTCATTAGCCTGGAATCAAGTTAGCAATTTAGCTTCAGCATAAAACTTAAAACTCAATTAATAAGCTATGTTAGCGGGCATCCTATACGACAAAGGTTTAGTTGTTTAACTAAACGTAAACAAACCGGATTGAAGTATTTTATGAGGCAGACAAGAGACAACATCTCGAACTACCTATTTATATGATATACACATAATATTGAAATAAAGATTTTTGATAACACGTATCACAACTTTCCTACGATAAACAACCTAAAATCCAGCCATTAAAAAGATGACCAAATTAGAGAGTCCAACAGTAATACGACCTATGAAACTCACTACTAAGGGTCGTATTCTAGCAAGTCAGGATTTGAGTATGGTTTAAAGCACACGAAATCATACACAAGTATCTGCCATTAGGGTCGTATTTCCAGTGCTTGTGTTTCCATTGCAATCCTGACTTGAGCATTGAGTAGAGTGCTAGAATACGACCCTAAATAATGTATTTCACGGCTAACCAAATGACAGCTGAAGTTTGTTTACTTTTAGTTAGACCCTTATACTATAGTTGATACCTCTATTATTAGTTCTACAGAACTGTTGAAATAGCCATGAAATGCTTTTTTTATGGGATAAGAAACTTTTTGGCTGTAAGAAATTTCAAAAGGTCCGTAGTACTAGAAATTGACAGAAACAACCAGTTATTTTCTGAAAGAGTTCTTTTAAGCTGAACACATATATACACATAATTATGTCAAAGTTAGTACCTATTGAAATGAAAGAATAAGGTATTTATTAAAAAAGATAAGACCCATAGAGATGTGTTAATTTTTGAAATATTTAACTTTAACATTGAATAAAGTTGGTCTAACAATTCTTAATAATGCATAATATGTTGGCAATGTAAGTTTCTTCGTCTACCGACAGTTAATAATCTCACATAATCATATACTCAAAAGATATTACATACATCTAGAATTGCTTACAACTTCCCTCGTAAGCAATTATAATTTTGTAAATGTAAAATTCACATTTACCATTGATAATATTTATTTCAAATATTTTAATAGGCTAGAAAAACACCCTAACAGTCTGGCACCTAAGCTGACAACGCGATGCTATGAAATGAGGCTCAAGCGGTAAGACTTATTGTTCCAATACAGATGACACCGTTTAAAGAATTGATACCCTCAGTGGAGGACACGCTCGACATGTAAAATTTACTATCCCACGCATTTGCTTATAGTTTTAAACTGATTGAAACGACAACACTAAAAAACAAGAAAAAAAAATTAGACAATATTTATTATTTGTGGTGTTTGTAACTCAAACTAAGTGAAATTCAAGATTATACTATAAGTAAGCGATGCGCGATTGTGAATAATTTCGTTATTCGACTCGTTAGGAATCGCTAATCCTGTCATTCGAATGTCAAATTAGTAACTTACTAATTTTCATATTCGAATAAATTGAATGATCATTCTTTACTCATTAGTTGTACTAATCCATAGATTCCGTAGACTATTTCTGCTCGTGATCACCTAGCCCTCTCTGACATAATGGTAAATACAGTAAATATGACGGGGACAGGGATGTTTTGGTATGGATATGATGAATGGGGTGTTCTGATATAATGATCATTCGACTTGTGCACCCGACCGAATGGCATTGGCATTCGGTATTGAATTAAATTGTGCTTGGATTTGACTTTGGCGAACGATTTGCCCATTGGAATGATCAGTATTAGTAACATTCAAAGTCGCTCATCGCTAATTTGATTCTCAACATATCAATGCAACCATCCTTAGAATATTGTAAGAAACAATTCTTACTTAAAACAAACTTAACTCAAAAAGTGACAAAGTTTTTGTGAGATGACCTCAAGATGCGTCTCAATTACACTTAAAATATCATTGGCATCTTGGATAATACCATTCCGAGCTGCCAATTTGCACTTGGCAATTCACGATTAAATAACTACCTTGAGCAAAACTGTTGAGTGATTGTTGGTAATAAGAGGTTATTTATTTATTAAATAAAGACTGTTAACTTAAGTAAGATATTAATGTAAAACCTGTGTCTGAGATGGTTATATTAACATGCACCTTAGTAATTTACATTGTCAACATATTATGACTAAAAGATATGTCTATGACGGAAAAAAATAAGAAATTAATTCCCAATTGAAGTAATTTTACCCTCAGAATAAATTAAGGTGGGATGGCTTGGTGGGTATAACACAACCACACAGCTTGAGGGTTGAGAATAGTACGTACTTGTAACTATACTACTGTCATATAATTCAAGTGCAGCAGACGAAGCAGGCAAAGTTACCTTAGCATCTACTCAAGAATGCACACAAACAGAATTACTTGGTCATTCTTCAACAATATTCACGTAATTTGAAACTAGAATAGCATTATGTAATTGTACAGTGACGAAGCAATAATGGATGTCAAAGTTCATCAAGTTGAGTTTATTGGGAAAAATATTCAATGGCAAATTTTGAGCAAACTGAAAAAAAGAATACAAATACTGTTGCACTTCAAAAGGGAATTGAAATTCCGCCTGTAATTGGTGTATGTTATAGATTTCTGTTTAATCAATTATTATTACTTCTGTGTCCAACACTAGTCCCTACCAGTCATCGAATTTCCCTCCAAATATGATATGTACCAAAGATGTTTTAAGTTTAAAAAAAATAATTGGAATTCTTAATTGACAATTGATTGTAAATTTATTAAAATTGGAGTTAGAGAAATTGTCTACAATTCCATAACTCTCCATGGCGGCATATAAAAAACGATACGAACCCTAACCATTGTAGATTTGGATTATCTAATATCTACTTAACAACAAATGCGACGTAGTTTCCTCATACTGAGTTAACAAATAGAAACGTAATGTTAGCTTGAAATTACGAGTGATCACTAGGTGACCTCTAAGCGGCCACAAGGTCACGTTAGATAAACGCGTAAATAGCTGTCTTCAAGTGTCGCGAGTGCACTGATAAAACAAGATATATTACATTTATTAAGTAGGTACCTTCTTATCTGCATCACCGGGTTCAGTAATTACCATGTTTAAAGCGATCAAATTCGGTGAATCAACGATTTTACGTGTAAATAATACGATAGTTCACTGTTTTAGTTTTATAAACGAATGAACAAGTTAAGGTTATGTTGACTTAAGGCTGCCTGCACGCGATCAACCGAATCAACCAACTTTTTAGATGACACAAAGGTTAAGTCTTATTTTATAGATACGAACGACACCTAATTAATTTTTACATAGTTATGCGTCAAGGATTGTGATTATGAACGACAACGCATTAGTAGTTTGTGTGTATTAGTAGTTTGTGTTCATGACGAACGATAAAAAAAGAAAAATAATGATTCTAATACAACATCCAGTGTTGCCAAGTCAAATCTGAATAAGTGGAAAGATACTGTATACACAAAGCAGTAGATCGAAAAAAAACAATAGATGCTGAACTTAGTTTCAAATACTTTTAATCGTGTTCTTTCAAACATTGATTGGTCATTTTCATTATTACATTACTGCCCAAACAAAAAAGTGAGTAATGTTTTTGATGTTACTTTACAATCTTGATAATTGATAATAAAATTGTATTTCTTATTATTACCATAGCGGGAATCTCAATGTTACGTTTGACAGCGGTCATTCCAATACAATTGCTAACTATGTATCACTGTTGTAGGTTATCGATTGCATGGCGGGTATAGTAATAGTCACCTTTAATTACTGACTTGATCCAATTTTATTTTATCTTCAATAAATGCATAATTATATTATGTTTTATTACCTGAAAATGAAAGTGCATCTTTTGGTACCAGTAAAAAGAGTAAAAGTGTTTTTTAATTAGCAGTAGTGAGAAACATACAGACATACATCGTGCATATGCTCTAATGGTTAATCACTGCCTGAACAAAATGAAATGAAATGAAATAAGGTTTATTTGTATTGAATACGATGGTAGTTATTACATTTGAGTTCATCTATTCAGCCAATAAACAAAAGCATGAAAATGTAATCTTTTACTACTTAACTTATTTACACTATATCTTTTTTAACTAGGTATTTATACAGTTCAGTTGTCATTCTTTTAAATGTCAGATTTTTTATTTCAATTGGTAGTCTATTATAAATTTTCATGCACATGTAAGATTAACTTTTTAAGTAGAGTGTAGTTTTAGGTATATTTTCAACAACCAGTTTGTCTGGGTTTCTTTTTGCCTGTGGATTAATTTCTATTGATTTATAAAATAATTTTAGATGTTTTTGGCAAATTTACAAATTTTTATAAATATACATGGAAGGTAAAGTCAAAATATTTACATTATCGAACAGCAGCTTGCAAGATTCCCGTGGGCCGATGCCGCACATTGCTCATATACATTTTTTTTTGAGTTATAAATGCTCGTTCAACGTAAGTTCTATTACCCCGAATAATTAACCCATAACGTAGAACCGACGCGATGTAGCCGTGGTAAGCAAATAAACAATTTTGGTAAAACTAAGATTTTTATCTATTAATATACCCAAAAATTTAACTGTCTCTAGCTTTTGTACAATCTTTCCATCATAGTTAATGTTTATATTGCAATTAATATAAATATATTGGTATACGTCCTTTTACAGCAAATTGAACATATTTCGTTTTTTCTAAATTGACGTATAGATTGTTTACGTGCAGCCAATCTTCCACGCATTTTAGTGTGTCATTAATTTCAGTTTCATAGTGATTGACGTCGTTATTAATTGAGTTTATGACTATCGCAATGTCATCTGCAAACATGCTACATTTGTGCTTACATAATAATGGCAGGACATTAATATATAGCAAAAGTAATAAAGGAGCTAATATGCTTCCTTGAGGAACACCAAACCTATTTAAATCATAATGCGAACAGCATGTGTCAAAATAATTTTTTTTATCTAGGTCGTTTAACTCCACCCGTCGCTGTCTGTCATGTAGGTATGACATAAACCAATTCAGTGCTATGCCCCTAATACCATACTTCTCTAACTTTATCAGCAATCTATCATGTATTACGAAATCGAAAGCTTGAGACGTGTCCAGAAACAATACTGTGCTGTGCTTTTTTGTGTCAAGAGCTTTAATCACTATATCGACAATATTGAAAACAGCCTCAGCAGTCGATTATCCGTTTTGGAAGCCGAATTGTTCTGGTTTTTTTATGTTAAATTTTGTGCAGTAGTCCATTAATCGACAATACATGCATTTTTCGAAAATTTTGGCTAAAATCGGGGTAAGAGTAATCGGGCGGTAGTTGGATAGCTCAGATTTGTCGCTCCTTTCTTATAGATCGGTTTAATTGGCATCTTCATGGTATGTATACATTGAATTATCAAATTTGGGCAGAAGGCATGATTACAACAAAAAAGAGTACATTTTTGTTAATTATCAGTAGAACAGTAGACGTTGGCCAAAAACAGTAGATCTACTGTTAAAATTGTAGACCTGGCAACACTGACAACATCGCATGATCGCGTCGACGACGTCGAGTCGCCATTACGTTTTAATAATGATGTGATCCGATTGGTCGTCTATGGGGTGCCCTTAGGTTGAGCTTGACATTGTGAATTCGTAAATTATGACCATTAAGCCGGCTTAGTATGGCGCTTAATTTATATTTTGCGGTTACAGCTCAAACTGAGTACAACGCGTATGATTAACTTAGATGATGGATCAATTGTAGTTTAATTAGTTTTCTTTTTTTTAGCTATGAGTGAATTAGCTATAAACTCACAAGAATCATACGTTCATTTGGTACATCTAGGCCAATGGGCTTGGAATATCACAGACATTTATATAATTGTATGTCTGAATGGAATACAAATAATATTATAGGTTAGGAATATGTAGATATAGGAGCCGGTACTATTAACGTTACTGCGGTACCGGTACTTGAGATACTATTGGTGCAAATTATACTTGTATTTTCAAGGAATGATTTCAATAAGTGCTAACAGTTCGCCAACTCTTTATCCTCCACGCAGTTCTAAAAGCACACTCCCTTATGACATTTGACCCAGTTTCAGGGATCAATAAACGCCGTAAACATTTTGTTCACTCACCTTTCCCTGCAAATAGTAGCTTTGGCTTTGCACTAAGTCTTTTTTGTTTACACACGCACGCGCACGCGCACGCGCATACGCACACGCACAAACACACACACATTACCGTCATCAATGACCTTATTATATTGGTACCTTATTCGCGGTTAGTGTTTCAACCACAGATAACTTTAACTTAAAAATTAACTACAAAGAAAATTTTAAGTAATATTCAGGAGTCTCGCATGTGGAGGTAACATCGGTAGAAATAAATAAAACTAAAATCTAAGGATACATGCTACTTATGTTTATTAATATTTTTTTTTATTAATTAGAACCCTGTTTATCGAGACAAAAACCTTCATACTGTTGAATTAAAGTTGCGAATAATTAGATAGCGTACAGGCTCATGAGCACGTCAACCTTGACACATAAGGGCGCGTTCCCATTACGTCGTAAAGCTTTATTTATCGTTGGTCGACTGTCGAGTCCAGCCTGTTCCCATATCACGACTATCTGTCGTGACTGCGTCGTGGACGTTTATTTTATCATTGACGACAATTTTATTCATCTATTCACGGCAGCCGCCTTGTCGTTTGCATGACAGAATCGTTTGAAGCTGCGATTATCTGTCGTCGCATTTTTATCGTGACGACTCAGACGACTGTCGTTCTAACTATTTCCATTGTCACTACACGACAGTTAAAAAGGTCGTGAACGTATATGTGAATAACTTCATTTAAATATACAAGCCACGACACTTAAACTGCACGACTATCTGTCGTATCGACATAATGGGAACGCGCCCTGAGATTGAAATTCAACTTATTGAGACAAGAACGGTAAAAGCGTGATTTGCTTTTGACTCGTGTGTCAGCTAACGTTATTGATCCGCTACTTTAGCCGCCTGTTGTTTCGCGGCCACGCGACAGTTGATAAAGCATACGACAGCCGACGAAAGGCAGAGAAGAGAGCTGGCCACCGCCACCCACATTAGGTTCGAGTTGTGAAAAACGCATACACCCCCTGTTATTGGATTTTCGTACGCACACGTCAGAGCTGTAGACAAAAAAGAACATTTAAAACACGTACACTTTAGAGTCGAAAACACCTCACACTGGTTTTATTTCAGAATTTAGTTTTTTACTTAGAGGATGAAAACAAATAGTTTAAGGCTTTTACTAACGAAATTTAAAGCCGTTTAAAAAATCGATGCCTTACTTTCTGGAGATGGCAAAACATTCTATTTATTTTAAATTTCTTATCAATATATAGGAAATATGTTATGAAATCTGCCTGCAACGTTTGTATATATAGTCCACCTTTGCATAACAGTAACTTTATGCTTTAAGATACGAGTTTCACAAAAAGTAAGGCGTAAGAAATATGTGTCGTATAATGTACGTGCATTAGTTCAGTTGATATAAAAAACAAGTCATTGGTATATGAAAAGTACTTACAGAATACAGCGGTTTTCTTAAACATTTCGAGGTAAGTTTGTGCTTTTTTTCTATGGTGAAAATTTTTTAGGATTACCGTGTTTTCATACCGTATATTTCATACAAACCAAACCCATTTGAGTTTGTATCGACGCGGACCACATAACATTAAAGTCTGCGCCATGGGAATTTGATGGAATGAAGATCGTGAATGCAATCAACCCGACCGAGTTTTAACTCATTTCTGCCCAAATATGTGGGAGGTAACCATTATAAGCGTAAAATAATGGTATAATTCCATACTTCAGGAATTTCGATGGAAAAATCTTTCGTAGAAAAAAAAGAGGCAACTCCAAGAATACCCACCTGTGAACTCTCACTAAAAATCGATTCTAGTGTATACCATCTAACCATTTTTTGTATCGATTCAATTCAATGTGATTTTCAAGAGAATCCATTCAATGGAATTAGAAAGGTAAAATATGTGAATAAGCAATTTGTAATAATTTTATCATTACATTTAAACAAAATTGGATTTACAAATATTTAGCTAAAGCTGTCTGTTATAACTAACTGCCTTAGTGGCCTAACGGTTACCATGCCGGTCTGCCACGCAGTGGTTCGATTCCGGGATCGAGATAAATATTTGTATGGCCTGTACTTCTCGTAAGTTTGGGTGTAATTTGTAGTTGTTTATGTGTGGGTCCAGGGCACCAGCGATTAGCGGTGGGCGTTTAAACGAAAAGCGCTTAAAAAGTTTGCTTTTTAAAATAAAAACGTTAATGTCCTTATGTTTCAAGTTCCGCCATCTATGTTTCTAAAACAAATTAACTCGCCAATGTGAATAATAATTGTATAAATAAAAAGAAAACTCGTATTTTACAAATAAACTTACTTATCTTAAAACCTTTAGTGGTCTATTCTTGCTTTTCGCTATCAACACAACGTTACTTGCTTTTTTTAACATAAAAGTCTACGCATTCAAACGTTTTTCTAAACGATTTTGTAAGCTTCAAATTAAAAAACAAGCAATTTTTTCTATCTCTACCCGCGATACAGAGTTTCCCTATTGCGGGGCTATAAACGTGTGCGTTACTTATTATGAAATAGTTTTTACCCTTGATTATTCGGGCATTAATGGATTTTAACATAACATTAACGAAGCGTCGGGTTAAAACCCATGCGCTTGTCCGTCTCTGGGCTAAACGGTTGATTGGTCTATGACCATTTAGGACTAACAAGGTTCTGACTTTAATTTCTATGTAACGGTCATTTGTGAGTGGTTAATGTGTGGAGTGACATGTCGTACACAATGCAAGCACCTTGGAAAACGTGTGAAGTCTTTAACCAAGCCACATTGGGTCAGCGTGGCGGAATAAACCCTAAACTCTCTCCTTATAGAGATGGTTTTTGGATGTTGTTGGGGCTGTTAATTTTCTGCATTGCGTCAGGCACGCAGGTGCGTGCGTGCGTGCGTGCGTGCGTGCGTGCGTGCGTGCGTGCGTGCATGCGTTCTTGCGTGCGTGCGTGCGTGCGAGCGTGCGTTCGTGCGTGCGTGCATTCGAGCGTGAGTGCGTGCGTGCGTGCGTGCGTGAGTGCGTGCGTGCGTGCGTGCGTTCGAGCGTGCGTGCGTGCGTGCGTGCTTGCGTGCCTGCGTGCGTGCGTGCGTGCGTGCGTGTGTGTGCGTGCGTGCGTGTGCGTTTGTTTGTGTTCACTTTAATTTGTGATTTCAATTATTTTCTCAGTGTTATCATAACTTAGTGTTTGTAAGTATAAGTTGAGTTTGTTTTTAACTACATATTTTCACAAATTTATTATACCTCGTTTGTTAGTTTAGTAAATTATACACTCTGTCTGACCGGAAACGCAAAAATCTTTCAGCAAATGTTTGTTCTAACTGGAAGTGAAACACAGGCGGAGTAGTGTCTTCGCTTTTAGTTCGTACTATAGAGGCTTTGGGGATGCGCTTTAGTGTGTTGATGAAGAGAGGTGGAAGACAAATAAAGCTGTCTAACTGTTAGCAGATTCGACTCTTTGTACAGACTTTTGGTTGGGAATAATTTAGGTTTAAAAAAAGCAGATTTTTAACAGCATCCTTTGAGCTCTTTTAAGTGCTAGCAATTCTATGCGGCAGCTTTTTTCACCTCGCGTAAGAAGCATAATTGATATTTCAACTGTATTTGAATGTCATTTTAGAGACCAGTATCCAGCAGCGGGACGTATAACGACTTGATGAAGAGGCTAAGTGGATTAGAACTTACAGCTGATGAGTAAATACAGCAAGTGCCCCGGAACTTCCGATAATAGGCCGACAATGCCGAAGCACAACCCCAGTGCAATCGGCTTATCCCAACGCTGGACAGCTCTGAGCAAGACCATTCCTTGCATCAACATTGATGCTCCTGGAAATGTAATTCTGTATTAAAATAAATGTACTACAAAAGTTTAGGTAAATTAATAGCTAAATGTAAAGGGACCGTAATGAAGTATTTTTAACCGACTTCAAAAAAGGAAGAGGTTCTCAATTCGACTGTATGTTTTTTTTTTGTATGTATGTTACGCGATAACTCCGGTATTTGTGAACCGATCTTAATGATTCTTTTTTGTTGGTAAGGGGGTATTTCCATAGTGGTCCCATTTCATTTTGAAGAAAATCATCCACCTCAAAGGGTGGCTGTTCACGCATGAAGGTTCATTTTTATAAATAGCGCCTAACTTTAATTTAGGAGCAATTACTTTTAGCAATTATTTAGTTGATTTTGCTATTTCTCCAATTCAAGGCGTTTGAGAACCTATTTTTATTATCTCCAGTATCAAGTCCTGTATAGTGGCGAACTAGGGGATATTTCAATGAAACTTAGCAAATAGACGTAATTCCACGTACTTTTGAGGTCGGTTTTTTAGTACTCTGTACTGAGGTTATATGAGGCATTATCTGATTACATATTGTATTACGGAGCGACATTACCATCTTAAATCTCAAGCTCCTTAAATTTAGAAGAAATATTTTTTGTTATCCAAGGCTGCAAAATTGTTGTTTAATGCCTGTGCTTGTATTAAGACCTGAGCAAGCCAAGGCCACTAAGATTAAACCACGAGCGAAAGAAGTGGTTCTAAAATGGAATCCGGAGCGTAGCGAGGGTTTCAAGCCACGAGACACAAAACAACTTTGCTGCCGAGCGATACACACGCTACTTTTCACTAATCTTTTCATGGTACCAAATGACGGGACGAACAAGTTGTGCGCTTGGGGCTGCGCCTTTCATAAGTTATAGATATAAGTTGACAAGTCCCTTGTGCCTGTCATTTCACCAGATCTCAACCATCCAAAACCAGACCGCAGTAATGCTCATATTACTGCTTGGCAGTAAAAATAGGTAAGGTGGCAGTTTTAGGAAAGGCGCTTGACACAGCCGGCCGGGGTAAGGGATTTCAGGTTCAAAAATCGGCGAACGATAAGTGCCGTATCGCGCAGTACCTATCACTTTTCGCATTTGTGCTGGTAGCTACACGCCAAATAAGTTTAAGAGCGTTTGTGCACTGCGTCCGATTGATGACGGTCCGAAGTAGTCATATCAGTCCGAATTCTTTCTTCCTTAAGTCGAGAATACCTTCAATTCGGATCATTAGTTTCGCGAACCGTAGTAACTACGATATTATTTGTATTAACGCTTGCGCAATACGTACGACCCGAGTCCGAACGCGGCGGCGATGGAGAGTAACAGCAAGTATCAAGTAAAAGTAGACACGTCCATTCAGTAATAACTATGAATAAATTTCTTTCTACCTTGTTTATCTTCATTGTAATTTAGTAGCAGTAAATTTCCTTGTAAAAGAGTTCGTACAGGGAAGTACTGCCACCTAATCTATTTCTGCCGCCAAGCAGTAATGTCAGCATTACTCTGTTCCGATTTTGAAGGGTAAAGGTGTTGGTGAAATTACATGCACATGGGACTTATCAACTTATAACTCTCAGGGTGACGGCCGCAGCGGCAGTGCCTCTCAGATCTTTGCGATTTAAACCTCTGAACGACACTGCAACTGTTATAGACAGATTGAACTGGCATGTAGCTTACAATCAGGTGCACGGCTTGTTCGTCCCGTCACTTGATATTATAAAATGTTTCTCTGAAAAGCCAGTTCAATAGGAGAAGGTGTACCCAAAACTTTTTATTTTTTCTGCGTCTCATTACAAACAGTTAGTAGTAACCTCATGACAAATACATAGTTAGTATCAACCTCTGGGTGTACAAGTGATATTCGTATCCGGACTTAGTGCACAAATACGCTGACTGGCTTTAGTTAGGCTCATTGAAAAATAAATAAAAAGCATTGATAGACATGGTGTAAAAGGTACCGCTTAAATAAGCACTAATGTAGCCGTATGAGAGTAATGCGCACAACTCACCGCTAACACCTAATACAAGAGTATGTAGTACCAGATACAAGGCGTAGACAAAACTGCACTTGGACAGACTGCAGCTGCCCCTCACGGCGCGTTGGTAGCCACACGTGCAGTTTTCGAACAGCCTGCAAGTTGTGTTATTATTTATTTTCATTACCAATACAATTATAAGGGTTGACGCACAGAACTATGCAGAATGATGCGGGGTCGTGTAGCAACACAGTTAAGCGTGTCTAACTATTACATGAACAACAGAACTCAATACATTTGAAAGCGTTAAGGTTCTATTCAACCGAAGGAGAACGGTGGGGGCGAGTTTCCATTATGTCGTGACGACAAATATCGTTCAGTTTAAAGTGTCGTGACTTGTATATTTAAACAAACGTCATTCACGCTTTAGTCTTCGTTTGTTCGACTGACAGCGAAGCAA